CGTAGGATGTGAAATGTTGTCCCCCCCCCCCCCTTCGAAAGAGATCTCGCGTCACGTTCGAGTTGCCAGCCCGTTCCCACAATCTACCAGTTTACTCGGCTTCAATCAGAGTAATTGGGACGACGAAAACAAGCCGATTAAAGGGAACGGGAGGACGAGAAAGGGGTACGGGGAGGGAGGGGGAAGAAAGTGAAGAGAGCTGGTAGAGGAATAATCGAATTTTTGACAGCAGGTGGGTCAGAATGGCGACACGAATCCGAATTGTCGCAGCTGCGGCAAGGTCGTCTTCCAAATGGAACAGACAAAGGCCGAGGGTCTGGTCTGGCACAAGAATTGCTTCCGGTGCGTCCAGTGTAGCAAGCAGCTCAACGTGGACAATTACGAGAGCCACGAGAGCACGCTTTACTGTAAGCCACACTTCAAGGAACTCTTCCAACCGAAACCGGTTGAAGAGTCCGACGAGCCTGGTAAGTCGATCACACCGCGCCGCTCGCCATCTCTCCTCCAGCCTATGCCAGTCTTAGTCGTAGGCGGAACTCGCGGCTTAAAATAACCGCGGATCCGAGATCTCTAATCTTCGCGAATCTTTCTGGTCGCTTTGACTATCGCCGCGGGTTTCCCTGTTGTCAGGAATTCACCACCTCGCGATTCTTCTTTCCTCTCGTCGTATTTAATCGGTTCTTTTCGCCCTTTGGCCGTCGTATTTAATGGGCCCTTTAACCTCTTGCGCTGGAATGACATGCCACGCACGTCGACAATTTTTCGTCCCAAAGTTGCAATATTTTCTCAGGTTATTTTCAGGTATATTTAAATATAACCCAGACAAAACAAATAATAAATTTCTTAGTATTAACACTAAACGTACCAAACGGGGTCAAATGACCCCTTTTCAAAATTTACTTTAAAATCGTACATTCGTTGTTATTTCTTTCGCTTAATCTGACTTTTTTGTAAATTCGTATATTATCTGATTATTCAATTTCTCGTTTTCTGTTTTTTCTCTTAGCTTCATTTTTTTTACCAAGAAAAATTCTCTGCATACCTTATGTACCGCGAGGGATCACCGAGAAAAATTTGACCTCTTATGGTAAGATAGATATATGTAAAATACCGGTACGTTTAGTGTTAATAATAGTAAGAAGTATTGATACTTTTTAGTATTATTGTATACGGTTTGATCACTCGTTATGGTTCCGTGAACCAGTTGCCAGCGCAAGAGCGCCTTAACGTTCATGTCGAAAAAGAGTCGAATACTCGTCATGTAGAAAAAAAAATTCACTTTTGCTATTTATTGTAAAATTTATTTAGATTAAATTAATTTATTAGATATTTAGATAAAAAAATTATATATATATTTGTGATTTTAGCTTTTGTAATTCGCTTTTGCTATTTATATGTAAAATGTTTAGGTAGAAAAAAATTTTATATATATTGTAATTTTAGCGTATTTTAGAATATTTCAAGGCAACAAAGAAAATATGCACTCGAAAATAACGGGAATTGTTCGGACACAATCGATACGATGCAAAAACAAATTAAATTTATTTCTAATCATTTTAATTTTGCAAATATTTGATTTTTTTTTCTTTTTTACTTCTTTTTATAAATTGATGAAAATTTTGAGTTTTTCAATGGTATTTTTCATGGAACAACTTTCAAAAAATAAAACGTTAAGTTCTGTAAATAAAATTAAAAATTTTTCAAAGAAAAAAATTTATTCATTTTGTTGTAATTCAACTCAATCTTACGGCAAGTGCGTTTACTGTGTTTTCGTCGAGTATACTCGTCATCGCTTAGAAATAATTAGGCATGTATATTGTCAAAATAAAACAAAACGTTTAAGGGGTTAATAACACGTCATAGTGGACTTTAAAGATTCGCGAGATCAACACTTTTACAGTATAGAAATTTGCGACATCGTGTCACGAATGTCGGGAACAACGCGATGAGCTTGTTTCGTCGAGCTTTTAATTTTGATGATAATAGCTAAGAGGATATGTTTATAACGTAACGTGATTGAAAAACAGAACTCGAGTTGAAATTAATAGTCTTTTAAACGTACTTCCACCATGTTTCGTGAAAGAACTCAATCATACTGTCACGACGAATGGTGTTTCTGAAGTACTCAGAAAAAAATGAAACAAAGAACTTTCTTTTTTTATGTGGAAATAGGTCGAATATTCAAAAGTTTCTTCAAAAAAGAAAAGAAAAACAAACAGGCGGTCATCTCGTTGTTCCGTTGTCTTGTCTGACAAAAAGTCTAAAGAAATCTCGACGATTCAAAGCGTTGAGAGAAGCAAAGCAAAGGAAAGAAGGAAACGCTATTTCTTTTTCTCAAAATTCGTAGATCTCTACCTGATCTACGAATAAAACGATAAAACGAACGGGCAGTTAGAAATGAAATAGCAACACTACTAAAGAATCAGAAGTTGGTTTTTGGTCGAAGGAAATGCGATTAAACGTTACGGACGAATGGGTGAAATAAACCCTCCGTATATTCCACACGCGATGGCCTCCCCCTCTTTATCTCGTGGCCACTGAAAATTACTCTGTTCCCCCGTTCGTCCCCGTTCTTCCAGCCCGTTTCCTCCCTCCATATAATTACACGTAAATGCAGAGAGATCGTTAATGCGACAAAGAGATGTCTTGTGAACTTCGTAGTGCGACCTCGAAAGCCGGAGCTGATCATACGGGAGAACGAGCCGAAAGAGCTGCCGCCCGATGTGGTCAGAGGTAATAGAGTTCTGACTGGTGGTAGTGTGCCGATCAAGCGGCGACCAAAAATCGTCCAAGAGTGGAAACAGTTTCTAACAGTTGCCTAACAAAGTTTTGCAGACTGCATTTATTTTTTGTTTTTAATATCCGCTGATTTATCGTTAACAACGACGCACCACGCATCATTATAGTCTCATACCTCCCCCTCCATGTTATCATATGTAATCTTTCATTTTGTTCTTAATTACCCCTAATCGATCGTTTGGTTTGTTTGATTGTGTTCTGTTTTTTTTTTTTT